TGAACACCTTCCCTATCAGCCTTGATTGACAGGCTACTGATCACTGTATGTCACAAGCTGTCATCATTTAAGCTGCTTATTAGGGTCATAAAAACGTATACAGTCTGTCAGGAAAAGTGCTGATAAAATATAGAACCTGTTCTGCAAAGTTTACATAATACAAATTAATATTTAGAAAAATTCAACATTAAATTTTTTTTCACCTTTTTTTATCTTCTATGAGAGGCATTTTAGAAGTTGTAAAGATGAAGGAAAACCAAGTTCTATGGATAGTCAACTTCTTTATTGCAATGGGTGTGACGTTTAGGAGTAGGTACTTACACCATTATTAAGGAAGTGATAATAAGAGTTGAAACAAGGAGAATATATATACATAGCTGCATAGTCTTTTGTGAATTGTACATGCTCACTATGCTCACTATTTCAACTCTTTGTATCACATGCATGGTAACGGTGTTAGTACCTACACCGAAACATCGCACCATTGCAATACAGAAGTTGACTATCCATAGAACTTTGTTTGCCTTTTTTGACATGTTTACAATAGTGACTTCTTCTTGTATCAACTTTACTAGTCCACATCAACATCAGGCTAGAATTTTAAGATGTCTGTTTAAACTTCAATAGTCGAATGTAGGAAAAAAAAGTAACAGGAAAAAACAAAACAGGACAAAAAGTAACGGAAAAAAAGTAACAAGAAAAAATGTAACAGTTTTTATATAAATACTTTTATAAACACTTAATTAGGATTAGGATGAGCTTTGATCATTTTATTCAAGTTGTTGCTGTTACTTGTCTTTATCGAGCAACTTCTCACCTACTCAGCTTACTTGATCGCATAAACAACTTTGATAAGTAAATTTTCTCCCAGTTGATGATGTGAGAAAGGGTATGGATCATATGAAGGACATTGTCCCTGAAGATGCCGAGGAACTCCTCACCTACTCGAAGAGAACTATGTGACTGGCACCTACAGACACATTAGACTCAATAAGAACACTTATTTAGAACTGAGAACTGAGAACATTTTTGGGTAGTAACACCATTCTTTCAAAATTTCTATTTTTTTGTTCCCCCTCATTTCTTAATAAGTGTACTACCCCGTCGCCGAAATACCTAAGTTGTGAGTGCGACGCTAAATAAAGTAAATAACTAACTGAGAACATTGCTTATAGATGCCAAAAATGTGCTTGTAATTGTTTGGGTATACTTTGTTAATAAATAAAAAACAAACAACATAAAATGTGTTTCTTTTTTTCCTGTTACTTTTTTTCCTAGCAAAATCGGTTATTTTTTTTCTGTTTCTCTCTTTCCTGTTACTTTCTTTCCGATCACCCAATAGTCATCCCACTAAAGAATGACTGAAAATGTGAGATTTGTTCAAGATACCATCTAAATTTGAAACACTGATCTGGTGTTTTCAGGAATCTGCAGCTCTGAACAACATTAAGAAAGTGATACCTGCCTTATAGTCTCTTAAACAGACCCTGCAACAAATATATCGAAGAAAGCCCACATAAGTCTAGAATATGTGGCAAGCCTAGATTACCACAGTTTCAGGATGAAGAAAGTCTCTGGGATCCTTTTCCTTTTATTTTATGATTGTTTATTATGAGCATTTTTGTTCTGTTAAATATGTTCATTTCAGAGACTAGATGTTAGTCTGCCTACCAAAGTTTATCTTGACATACAAAACTAGGGGCAATGGGATCAAATTAATTACTTTCAAGAGTCCTTACACAGAATATAAGGGTCCTGTAAAGTAATGAAATAGTGTACTGTACTGTCAGCACGGTAAGATTTGATAATTACTTCAACTATGGGACCTCTTTCTTGTCAGGAATGTGATACAATGACTATTAATGCGACATTCAGGATGTGATATATTTCTTTCCCAAATCCACTTGATGTACTGGAAGCACAGATTTGCATTGTGTGAACCCTGCTACCTACAAACTTCAAAATACTGGCTGAAGAAACCATGAATCTATCAATCATGGAAGTGTGGCCTGACAATTACGTGTGACAGATATGATGAATTACAAGTTACAGTGTAATATTATTCACTAGGTCATTTAAAGCAATAGTGTCTCCTGTATGACAATGGTGGATAACAATTCATGCCACAATCACAGATCATGTCAACACTAACTCTTTAAAGATCATCATACCTTTCACAAATCTATATATCCAGTATTCACTTAGATACTTCAAGGAAACACAATTTATTTCATAAATAGTCCCCTTGGGATGACCCATCATAAAACTATCAAATTACATGCTTGTTCATAACAGGTTTTCAATAATATCAGGATTGGATATTTCAAAAACAGAAAATACAACTGTGATTTGAAAACTTAAAAACCTCCCTGTTTGAAAATGGAGACGGTTCTATCCCATAATAATCCCCTTTGATAGAAGCTACCACTCAAAGCCTTCGGCTGTCTAGACAGTGAAAATGCTTATAACTCTATGAAAACATTCAGCAATAGATTGCATCTAAACATTTTCAAACTTACTGGCATGTTTTTCAAACAAAAAAATAATATAAAGGTAAAAGGATCATTCTTTCAAGTGTGTACAATGTCTTCTTTCATTTGCTGGAGTTGATTCCCCATGTGAGATAAAGTTCCTTTCTAATCTGATAATTACCAAGAGTGACAGAGCATACATTTACTGTCAGGAATTCTAGTCAAAATCAATCCAGGATCCTATCACGACCTTCAAATCATGAGCATCCATTTCAAACCATACACTCTACTTCATGTCACTTCAAACAGGAACCCGTCATCCAAACTTGTCAATATCAGTTAAGGTTGAAATCAAGTGAAATATATGACAAAATCAATTGAATGTAATTAATGAAGAGCAGCGACAGGAAAAAGGCAAGGACGAGTGTAATAGTCAGTCACCCATCCTACACCCTATACCTAACATCAGCATTGGTGTTGAGTTACTTCAACCAAGGACGTTCCTTTGAACCCGTGGTGGTCTACACTCCAACCTGCTATTAGTCGTCATTTAAACTTTCTATTCGTAATCGACAACTTCATTACTCAAGGGCAGAGGAGAAGTTATACCTTTAATCATAGGTGACGACAGTTAACTCCGAGGGCAGTTACACAAAAGCTTGTATGCTCAGAGCATTCATTAGTGAAGCATTCCTAGATATGGATCTGTCTTTACAGAAATCAATTTTAGTATGCAATTTCATTTAGTAATCATTTGTGTGTGAAATGTGACACATCACATGCAGCAACTCGTGTAACAGATGATGGGTGCCTGTAGTACAGCAAGTCAGTCAATATCCTGCTTAATGTTATGAAAATGTCACATCTGTTATATTAGATGCAATAAAAGCGTTAACATTGCATTCCCTAAAGCAGTACATACAAGAGCTGACATGGCTATTGCTGACACACATTGTCTGCAGTGCATCATGCTCTGTCTGTTTTACTCATCATGCTCTGTCTGTTACACAAGCCAATAATACAAATATACAGCACTGCATAGCAATATAACATATCACCTTTGTGATGTCTCACTTAAAACCAACAAAAGGTTACTTAGTATCTCTCTCTACCCCCACCACTTTCTCTCCGTCTCTCGCTCTCTCTCTCTCTACACACACACACGATTCTCGTCATGATCACATTGACAGTGAGAGAGAGAGAGGGGGAGAGAGAAAGAGAGAGGGGGAGAGAGAGGGAGAGAGAAAGAGAGAGAGAGAGAGGGGAGAGAGAAAGAGAGAGAGAGAGAGAGAGAGAGAGAGAGAGAGAGAGAGAGAGAGAGAGAGAGAGAGAGAGAGAGAGAGAGAGAGAGAGAGAGAGAGAGAGAGAGAGAGAGAGAGAGAGAGAGAGAGAGAGAGAGAGAGAACAAATATTTTCAACAGAACAAAAAAAGTTACAAATTGTCCACTTGGACAAAGGTATACCGGTACATATATTTTGAAATATTTTTTAATATTCTAAATTAGATGATGACAGATATGACAGAAACGTGTGCACCACATTAGGAACTGATCACCATGAAACAGTTCAACAGCATCAAATGACTACATGTGGAAGACCAACTTGACTCAAATGAATGTTACCACAGACAGCTGAAAGACAATAAAGGATATTACATCACACCATCATTTTCCTGGCTGGAAACTGGAGACAATTTTGTTTGTTATCAATGAAACTAAATACAAAACAGCTGTTGAAAGCAACGAACCACAGTATGGAACAAGTGACTGTTTATTTGAGACTGGGTAAGTAAGATAACAATCCTCATGACACATGTAACAGTAAGAAGCATGTGTTGTGACAGGACCAGTGTGATAGTGAAATACTGCAGTAATTACATCTCAAACACACACTGTCTTCAGACTCCGTGTTTTTATTTGGCAGATGTCATGCAAAAACCTATGAAGTCAAACACATATATTTTGCTTGAAACCCTGACAGCCATCACAAGCATGTCTTTATTTACTTCCAATTACATTTAAGGAGATGTTTGTGTCTATGTTGAAAAATAATTCATACCAGATAAAAACAGCGATTATGATCTTTTGTTTTCTGAAGTTTACAAATTAAATGCAAAACATGAACTTGTGAAAATCTGAGCAAGACAATGTCAAACTAATGCTGGAGACCAGGAGAAGATGACATTGTTAACATGTGTGGAATCAGAGACAATCATCTTTATGGTGATGGAACACTATAAACAATATTTCATTCACTCAATAATGTCAATGTGCATTAATGAATATGTATGTTCATCCTTCAAGACTGACTGAAGACAATATTTTTGCTGCAAGAGAAGCGCCTGATCTAAAATGCATTGTCTGATATAATATGAATAACAGGAAATCCTGGCAAAAATTGTAGGTTAAATGATTTGCACAAACTTATGCATGTGTGTGCAGCATGCAGATCTATCTGTGAGTGCCCCATAAATACCAGCTTTCTACCTCAGAGAGCAATGGCCTAAACATGAGAATCATCAGGACCTACCTGTAAGAGCCATACTGTGGGTGGCGCCGCCTGCTACCTGGACGACATGATGACCTTCAAGAACTCTCTCTGGTTGTTGAACATCATGGCGCCGATGTCCGCAGGCCCGACTGTATCCCCACATGTAGACACTACCATCCCCTACAAGCAGAGTACAATACAATCACCTACTGAACATGTATTCAGTACAAACCTATAATACCATTTTGAAAAAACTAGTCCTTTCAGTATGCAGCTGCTATCCTTTGGAACTCTCTGCCTCTTGACTTAAAACTAGTACCATCTCTACCACTCTTCAAAAAACAGACGCAAAACACACCTCTTTCAACGCAGTTTTATAAATCCTTGTATTTTCTTGTACATTCTTGTACATATGAACAGTGACTTGTCAATGCTTTGAGCATTGCCCTTGCGTGATGGAAGTCAGCGCCATACAAATACTCTTTATTATTATTATTATTATTATTATGTTTTACACATTAAAGATAGTATGCGGCGGCAGAGAGGGTTCAGGTTATCCTTGCACAGTCAGGCTGGTTAGGCTCATCATCAGCAATACATTTAGCAATATTCCAGCAATATCATGGAACACCAGAAATGGGCTTCACCCATTCACCTATTGTGTGGAATCGAACTTGGGTCTTCTGCATGACAAACAAATGCTTTAACCACTGGGCCACCAAACCAAGGGAAACTGTACATGGTATTTTGTCACATGTAATTCCTTAAGGTGTCCATCGATGTATGTATATACCAAGCAAGAAAAACAACCTGTTAAAATCACATGCTCAGTCTATTTTGATAATTTGTATATTTAACATATCGATATGTAAAGTAAAGCATACATATGACATAGTCACTGACTGCCCTTAAGCATGCCTCTTGTGCGATACAAACAATAGATTTCACCCATGAGGATTCCAGGGTACAGTTGCTCTTTATACTCTTTTTTCAGAAGAGGTAACTAATGGCAATGGGTCAAGCTCTGTGACATGGCTGATTGAATATAATCAGACCTACTGTGCTACCTTGTATCTCATTCATTCTTCTCAACTATAACACAACCAAGTGGATTGCTGCTTCTGTTTTCAATCACTGTTTGAGTACAACAGGAGTGAGTGAGTTTGGTTTTACACCGCTTCTAGCAATATTCCAGCAATATCACGGCAGGGGACACCAGAAATGGGCTTCACACATTGTACCCATGGGGAATGGGGAATCAAACCCTGGTGTGACGAGTGAACACTTTAACCACTAGGCTACCCCACCACCTCATTTTACAACAGGACCTTAGACACCATGTCTGTCAAGTTTCTACTATTACCATGGAAACTGGATGGCAAACTCATATGATGGGGGTGTATTTTTGGTATGGTAACCATTCTGAAGTCCTGCTGTTTGTTCACACATGGCTATTGCACATAACTCTACTACTCTTCCAGACAATGCTGCCACTTATCCGTAACTGCTCACTACCCTGATAACTACCCCCAGTCGTCCAGTCATTTTACATACAATCCTGGGGCTCCTTTCACGAAGCAACCTTTACTAAGGTTAACCATAACTCCCATTCTTTAACATTGCACTAAGGTTACCATAGTGACTTACGATCACCTTAGTGCTTTGTGAAAGGAGGCCCTGATCATTACTGCAGGTTATCATATCCTTTTGCTTACCATCTCTACTAGACTTGCACAAGTCTCTAAGGTAAAAACTTTATAGTTTAAATGATAATTTCTAAAAAATAATAAATAACAGACTGGGGTTGTACTGTCTGCTTATCTAGACTTGCCTCTTCAAAGGATAGAATTACTGTACATCCATGGGCTCAGCACTCAGTCCAGCCTTGGAGCAAGGCTACATCTCTACCATAACCACTAGTTATCCAGTCATTGCTAATACTACCCTGATAATTACTACCGTTTATTCAATTATTGCTCTTACTACCCTGATAATTACTGAGGTTATCTATTGCTGATACTGAAGAAATGATTACTGCCAGTTGTAAAATCATTGCTCTTACTATGCTGACCATAACTACCACTTATCTAATCACAGCTGTTACTACCCTGCTGATTACTGTCAGTAATCCAACCACTAAGATCTTATGATTGAAGAAGCCATTAGAACCATCTGCATGAACTAATTCTTAAATTGTACCATGACACAAATCTTGTTGGAATGTAATCAATACAAAAAGTTTTGAAACTGCATATTTTCTGCAAAGCCATCCTAATGTAAGGTAAACACACAAGGGCCACAGACATCAAACAGTGCTCACTCTCATGCTCCTGCCAACAAAAACTAATATTTATACAGGTAAGCATTTCCCCTCTCAAAATGTGTACATATAATCTCTTATGATATAGCATAAGATTTGAGGTCACCATCTTAACAAATATATTCGCTGGGTATCATTTCATGCTAACCTTCATGATTGAGTTTCTAAGGAACAAGATGCTTGACACAGGTGTTATCAAATTTCGGCTGACCTGATGCAAGTCTTTTCTCTGGAATATCAACTTGTGATATCGGCAATTGTGCCTTGATAAACAAAGGGTGTGCTGAGGGACACCCCTTCATAGCTTCGCATTCTTTAACAGAGGGGGGTTGTATTTGGGAGGAGTGTCTGTGACAATACAAAGCCTATTGAATGGGACAGTGTCAATAGCGTAACACGACACCAGATTATAATCACAAACCTACAAACACTCATATTGTGAATGACATCACGAGTAGATGGTCCATCTCTAAGCTTCATCATGTGACTAGCACCACTCCGGGGAGTTTGCACTGTTACTATATCCCAACTTCCTGTCCTGCATATCAATGTAAGAAACTGTTCACATGCATGGAGCTAAATAATATTCATCATTTTTCAATTTCTACAAATTTACGTGATATAAAATATTATTGCTCTTTTAATATTATCATATTAATATGTTACAGCAGATGATTACATTATGTCATAAATCAAATGATTGACATGTTTCTCTTTATTTCAGTATGAACTGTTATCAGTAAATTTCTATTTTTAAAAAGTGAAAACATGTATGTCCTACAAAAATGTAGTAGTCTCTTCTTATTGTTTGAAAATTTTACAGTTTTCCATGAAATTAAATTTCGATAATATTCCAACATCTTGTTTTAGGCCACATAAATCCAACATAGAAAATATCAGTAATTCATAAGTCTTTCATACATACCTTTAGTTAACAGAAAAATACAATAAACTAAATGTGTATTCATGAGACAAAATATTTCCAGTGGTATGTCAGCCATATGGTTAACACATTTACAATCTGAGCCTATTTCATAAAACACCTCAAGACTATCACCTTAATACCAAACAAAGCTAATTGTTTAACTTCAAACAAATCAGCAGTGAAGAGCAATTTCCCCATACCTCTCAAGGGAAGTCTCACAGTGAGTGAAATATTCACCATGAAAATTTGAAAGGAAAAAGTTTTATAAACATCATTAGAGTAATCCCCTATCATATCTCCCTGTCAACAGGATAATCATTAAAACAAACAGGCCAGGTCATGCTATGAACATGGGAAATGATACATTTCACATAGTCTGTGAAAGTGCTCCTGAAACTGACAGGTTCAAGGGGCTGGCAATCAGCTGATTGGGGGTCAACCAGAAAGGTAACCAAAATACAGACACCGGAAGAAATTTTCTCACAGAATCCCTCCCCTTTGGCTTGAATGCTCTGGAGACAAAAGTGTATCCGGTTTCAATCCAGACAGGAAAGCATTTGGAAACCTTAGGGGTTTGCCATAACATAAACAGTTCCTGAAAGAAAACATCTCCTTGCTACATTTGTCAAACTATGGGTCTCCCTCCCCTGGGAAGTTCAACTTTTGTTTCTCTCTATTTATTCAGCTTGCTAATTAGTCTGAAACTGCCTTAACTGAAATAAATATTTGGAGATCATGACAAGATATTTTTATTTAATTGACATATTTTTGTAAAGAATATGTAGAACACGTCAACATTTTTTCACAAGGGTTTAATTCTTAAAATCTTATTTTGCTTGCTTTCAAACAAGGGTTGAAAGGTTAACTGGTTGCGTGTATATTCAACATACAGAAAAAAATGATGGATTAGTTGTACTTTAAATTGAGACATACTTTCAAGACCTGGAGAAAATACATATTACTCCAAATTTACATGTTTTATATCTGATGATTTTTACCCAGAACACACAAAGGGTAAGTGGATGTCTGGTACAAAACTTGAGTGAGTTTATGGAGTATTTGATTTATATGACAGCAATAATAGGAAAGAAGAGACATACAAGTAATTCAATGTTTAGCATGCTGGTTAAACCAAGGGCAATGCGTTGACAGATCTTGGAACTAATTACAATTTGGAATTCAAATTCATGACCAAGATCTCATTGTACCATCACAGAAAAAATTAGCCTCCTGTTTACAAATAATGAACCAGATAGAATAGAAATAATCTGTTACCATATATAACTTCAAACAAATCAAAAAGATCTCTAGATTGTGCTTGGTCATTATACACATTTGTGTTAGTATATGTATTGTTACTCTGACTTACTATATATCTCGTTTATGTAGTTTATAGAATATTGTCACTGTTTCTACATGGAACATTTGCGCAATAAAATATCTTCTATCTTGTATCGTGAATAAGGGGGACACTTGAACTCTGATGAAATTATTTATTTCAAGGTAAAGGAGCACTACCAACCAAGAATTTTACAAATTTAATTTATCAACTCTCTTCAAATTTTCCTCCAGTTAACAGTTACCATCAATTTTTATACCTGAACTGTGTACAAGAAGACACACAGCATAAATACTTTCATATAATATTTTTACATTAAAACTTTTAAAAATGTTTTTAGTGCACAAAAATACATGAAATGATGATACCCATGGTCTGGATATGCAAATCAGCCTTCTTTGATCTTTATCTCAATGGCAGAACCTTGGAGACAGCATGATACTGTGAAGACGTTAAAATAAGTTTCGTTCAGACTTGTTTTGTTTAGCTCCTCATCTCAACATTGTTCACTGCCCCATTCCTATTATAGCACCATGGTCATTTATATTACATGTGCTAAGTGACACCCATACAAAATGAAAAACCTTCTCATAAAA